TTCAGCCTATAACAGCCGCTCCCCATTCCCACAGGGACAGCTGTTGTTGCTATTTGTAATAAGAGACATCAGAAGGGCACTCCCTCTTGGTAGTGGATTTCAGGGATACTTTCACCCTCCTCTGAATACAGTGCATTTTGAAGTGCTAGGGGTTAGGTAAGGGATGGGGAAAGAGCTTGGCCAGCTTTGAGAATAATTGTTTTATCTGTTTTGTTCTGAAAGTCTCTGTAAAAACTTTGTCCCTCTTGTTTATTTTATTTTTTATCTTTTTTGCAGTGCTGGAGATCAAACCTAAGGCCATGCATATGGTAGGCAAGTGCTCTACCACTGAGCTACATGCCTTCAGCCCTTAATTTTCAAATAAACTGACCTGTTCTGTCATATGTCAGGGTCCCTAAGGGAGACAGACTAACCTAAGGGACCCTTTGCAACTGACTGATCACCTCCATTTGGTATCCATTAGCTTCATAAGATTCCTGGCCCCTGAGATATATTGGGATCTTGGTTCTGTTTGCAGAATCTGTGGGGCCAGAGGTGATGAAAAATCTTGGGCTAAGTGTGCTCTGCTTTCTTCACCAAGTTTTTCTGCCTGGCAAGTCTGTTCTGCTTTGCTAAATAGACTGCCCAGCAAGAAAAGCCATCCAGGGACATGCTTCTCCAGTGCATGTAGCCGAGAGGGAGAGAAGAGAGAGACAGAAAGAAGTCTAGGCGGGGCTGGGGATGTGGCTCAAGTGGTAGCGCGCTCGCCTGGCATGCGTGCGGCCCGGGTTCGATCCTCAGCACCACATACAAACAAAGATGTTGTGTCCACCGAAAAATAAATAAATAAATATTTAAAAAAAAAAAAAAAAAAAAAAGAAGTCTAGGCGACTTGTCTGTGAATTTGCCTCCAGGACGACCTGGAGCCACTGCTCAGAACTGGAGTACTTAGTTCACAGGCCACTGGCTTGAGCCTGAGCCCAGGCATTTAAACCTCCCCCTGAACCCTGTTGTGAAATGCTCTCCCTCTCCTGGAATGGGAACAGCAGTTCTAGGAATTCTGTCCTTGTACTTTCTTAATCCTCATGTTCCCCATTCAAGGGGAAGTGTGCTTGAGCCAGGAGAGGCCCAGGGGAAAGTAAGGGAGGAACTGGGCTCAGTTTACAGATGTCACATCCAACAGCAGAATGTGGGTACAATAGGGGGATGGATGGGCAGGAACTCAAGGCAGGCATCTTCCTTTGGGGAACATCCTGTTCTGGACACACTGAAAGTCTAGGTAAAGGCTTGAAGACCCTTTTACTATTCCCAGTAGAAAGGAGCATTGGCTGAGAGTTGGTACCCCAGTCTGCCCTGCAATCTACCACCTCCGATCTATGCCTTGACAATTTTTAAAAATGGATAATATTTAGAATTGGAGTCAAGACTGAATGAGTCTAGCTGGGTACAGTGGGGCACACCTGTAATCCCAGTGACTCAAGGAGGCTGGAGCAAGAGGGTCATAAGTTCAAAGCCAGCCTCAGCAATTTAGTGAGGTCCTAAGCAATTTAGTGAGACTTTGTCTCAAAATAAAAAAGGGATGGGGGGCTGAAATTGTGACTCAGGGGTAGAGTGCTTGCCTAGCATGTGCGAGGCCCTGGGTTTGATCCTCAGCACCACATAAAAATAGAATAAAGATTTTTTTTTTTAAAAAAGCTTCATTTAAAAAAAAGGGGGGGAGGATGGAGACTTTGCTCTGTGGTAAAGTGTCCTGGGTTTAATCCCCAGTACTAAACCAAACAAAAAAGGCAGGCTGGGTCTACCTCTGGATGGATGGCTCAACCTTTCTGATATATTGATATATATCAATTTCCTCATCTGCAGATTGATGATCATAATGATGTCATCCTCCTTGTGGGGAGGGGAGTTATGGGAGGAACCATGGTATAGTTATGAGCACAGATGGGTATGATGAGTAACGACAGATAGTGATGGTGATTGATGTATGCATATCACATGAAAATCTAAGTGTTTATTCATGCAGTACATATACATACATTTATTTGTGTTCCTTGGCTTCTGAGGAGCTTCCTATTCCTGGCTTGTAATCTATCTCTCTCTTTTTTTTTTTTTTTGGTACTGGGGTTTGCACCCTGGGGTGCTTTACCACTGAGATATATATCTCTAGTCCTTTGTATTTTGAAACAGGGTCTCACTAAATCGCCCAGGCTGACCTCAAAACTTGTGATTCTCCTGCCTCATCCAGGGATTACAGGCCCAACTCAAGGGTTTTTTTTGGGGGGGGGGGCATCAGGGATTGAACTCTGGGGCACTTGACCACTGAGCCACATCCCTAGCCCTACTTTGTATTTTATTAGAGATGGGGGTCTCACTGAGTTGCTTAGCACCTCAGCTAAATTGTTGAGGCTGGCTTTAAACTCTCGATCCTCCTGCCTTTGCCTCCCCAGCTGCTGAGGCACTCGGCCTCAAGCGATTTTCTGTTACATGGATATCATACTTTATTCTTGTAGGAGAATCTCCCCCCCCCCCCCCCCCCCCCGTCCCCGTCCCCTTTGGTTCTGGGGATCAGATCCTGAGTCGTGCAGATGCTAAATAAGCACTCTACCTCTGAGCTGCATTTCCAGCCCTCAGTGAATCTTGAGGGTTGTTATTAAGTCTTTATGATACTTTAGTGAGGTATGAATTTTGTTCTTATCCTCTTCTTGTAGCCACAACTCAGGTTGAGGGACTGGAATGTGGTGAGACCTGATTTGAGCCCAGAATTTCTGCCTGTAACCCCATACTATTTGCATATTTAAGCATCTGCCAAAACACGAGATCCTAAAAATAGATGGCACAAGGCTAGTGCTTTAAAAATAGTCTGACTGAGCCTAATACAACACCCTTTTTTACAGGTGAGGAAACTACACCCTGCCCCTTGGGTCCCCACATATCCCTCTGTTTGGAGACTTTATATATATACTATATATATACTGGACTCTAATCATTTGTTTTGGGGTTTTTGTTTTGTTTTTGATACCAGGGATTGAACCCAGAGGCACACAACCAATGAGCCATATCTCCAGTCCTTTTTATTCTTTTTAATTTTGAGACAGGGTCTTGCTAAGTTACCTAGGTCTTTGCTAAGTTGCTGAGGCTGGCTCCTCCTTGGCTCAAGATCCTCCTCTCTCAGCCTCCTGAATTGCTGGGATTACAGGCATGCACCACTGCACCCGGCTCTATAACTCGAATCCTACTTGTACTAGCTTTATTATTTTTCTAACACTTTATTTATTCAATTTATTTTTCTTTAGTACTGGAGATTGAACCCAGAGGCGTTCTACCACTAAGCTATGTATTCAGCCCTTTAATTTTGATTTGTATTATTATATTTTATTATATATCACATAATGTTGTATAGTATACACCCTACATATCATTATTAAATTATATATTGTGTGTTAAAAGGAAACTTGATGTCACTACTATATATGGGAAACCAGATTCACTTGCCATAAATAGAAGGTAACTATAAAAAGATACACAATGACAGTTTTTAAATTCTAGCTAGATTCCATTGCCTGCTGAAGGCGCTGAGCCTGAGGTCTGCTCTTTTGAAGGGAGTAGTCAGTAACTGCTGTTAAGGTATTAAAGACACATAGTGCTGATTTGGACGTAATGGGCACAACATGAACAACCCGCTCTGTTCACTGTCATCTGATGCATCACAAGGATCTTGGGTCCCTCACCTTGGGAAACACTCCCTCAAATGGTATCATGGGGGCAGGTCTACATGGGAGGGGTCCTGGGTGTGGTTTAAGAATGGTGAATAATTCAGTGAGACAGTTCCTCACCTAGGGAGTAAGACTACCTTGTAATGAATAGAACACAGAGTGTACAAACTCTGAAGTGTGGTGACATCGGCAAAGGTAGCAGGGGGCTTCAAAAGGAAGAAAGCCTTTGTGAGGCAGGTAACCTATCTGCCACAAAGCCCCAGCAGCATTTTTGCTAGTCTGAGTGAATAGCTTCATTTTCCCTTTATTCATCTAGAAAATGGGATTAAAGACCCTCATTGTTATACAAAATTACATATAAGAGGAAGTGAAGGGAAAGGGGAAAAAAAAACAAGAGAGAGAAATGAGTTACAGTAGAGGGGGTAGAGAGAGAAGATGGGAGGAGAGGGGAGGGGAGGGGAGGGGGGATAGTAGAGGATAGGAAGGGCAGCAGAATACAACAGACACTAGTATGGTAATATGTAAAAAAGTGGATGTGGAACCAATCAATGTGAATCTGCAATATGTATACGGGATAAAAATGGGAGTGCATAATCTGCTTGAATCAAATGTATGAAATATGATATGTCAAGAGCTTTGTAATGTTTTGAACAACTAATAATAATAAAAAAAGAAAATGGGATTAAAGATACCTATTCTGAGTATCCCACAGGAAGTACTATAAGGACAGGATGGAATAATGAATAGAAATGCATCTTTTCCACTTTCAAGTATGATTGTCATGGGTAATTAACACTGAACTCTGATGGGTGAGCAAGTTGAGGGATTTTAGGGACCAAGAGCTCTAAGAAGACAAAGGTGCACACCTGTAATCCCAGTGACTGGGGAGGCTGAGGCAGGAGGATCACAAGTTCAAAGCCAGCCTCGGCAATTTAGTGACGCGCTAAACAATTCAGTGAGACCCTGTCTCTAACAAAATATTTTAAAAAGAGCTGGGGATATGGCTCAGTAGTTAAGCACCTCTGGGTTCAATCCCTTGCACACACACACACACACACACACACACACACACAAAAAGACAAAGGTACAGTCTGATGGCCAGTGAATGTTTCTTTCGAGTGTCAAGGCCGTGAAGAGGTGGCGGACTCCTAGGTTATAGTCAGGCTGCTGGATGAGCCTCTCTCCTTCTTGGTCCAGATTTTTATAAGAGAACCAACTGCCTCTGTTGCAACCCTGCCTCCAAGAAGTGAAAAAACTGGCAGGCAGGGGGGTTTAAGGTGGCTTTACCAACCTCCCTGTGCCTTTCAGGTACCAGGATCATCTATGACCGGAAATTCTTGATGGAATGTAGAAACTCACCTGTGGCCAAAACACCCCCAAGGGACCTGCCCACCATTCCTGGAGTCACCAGCCCAGCCAGTGATGAGCCCTCCATGGAAGCCAGCCAGAGCCATCTGCGCAACAGTCCAGAAGATAAGCGGGCAGGTGGTAAGTGGCCAGGCTCTTGCAGGCAGTCTCCAGGGAAGGGAAATGTCCTGTCCTCTGGGGGGAATTCCAGGGAGGGGAATGGTGGTGACCCTTTCCCATACTCTATGGAGCACTTCAGACTCCAGAGGGTGGGAGTTGGGATGGAGAGTAGAACTCTCAGAGGTACCAATTTTGTCCTTGAAAGGGGCCCAAGAACCCCAGGAAAGGTGATTTGACACCACCAGGTCATGTAAACAGCAGGAGCTTGTCTAAAATGGCAGTGACTTCACACGGTTTTCATAAGCATGGCCCTCTGTATAATTCCCCAAAGCATTACTGTGCATGTGCAATGCTTGGACTACAACCATGGTGCTCGTGATGCAGGAGACAACTTAAGACGAAGTGTACTTGCCCTCTGTGAAATCACATGTCTACAAGATAAGAAACACATCCGGCAGTCTCCTGGCTGGGTGTTTGTTCCTTAGTGGATCCTCTATGAAGACATAGAAACAATGTGGCCCGTTGTCTTTGCAGCTTCAACATTTGGTAGCCAGGTGCTTCCTGGTATCCCCACCTCCCAAGTAATCAGAGCAGCCACCCTGGCAGCTATGTATGTAAAGGGGCTCTTTGTGACCACATGACTAGCTTGCCAGAGCATCTGAGTTCTCTGCTGTGTGGTAATGTATCATAAGCACTGCTAGATGACCTTAGTCAGACTGGAACCCACCGACCCTTCACTAGGCCCAATGCACAGGCTCAGACCCAGACAGGAAGCAGCTGGACCTTGGGCTAGGCTTGCTCTGCTGACAGCAGCAGAATTCGTTTACCTGGGGCCTGCAGGATGTGATTCATAATCACCCTGGGAATGCCAACAGCCAAGACAGGCAATAGTTGCCTTCTCTCTTTTTTTTGAACCCAGGCGTCATGCATGCTGGACAGGCGCTCTACCGCTGAATCATATCCCCAACCAGTTGCCTTTTCTTAGATTCAGGGCTGGAAGGGAGGTGAGCTGTAGTAGGAAAGTGGATTTGGGCACACAGAGAGAACAGTGTGACACATGCTATAAGGTGGTATGGTCACCTGACATTTGTTGAAGGATGGAGAGATTCATGGGTCATAGCACAAGGGATGAAGTTCACCAGCACCTGAAACTTGACTCACCACCAGCTGAAGGCTGTCACTCCCTGTTCACACACCCCTCCCAGTTTCTAGAACTGCTGTGGCCCATAACAAATGCAGGGTTGGCCTTGTATGCCAGGTGGCAGCTCTGAACCCCAAATAGTGGTCTAGTTCATCCCACATGGTTGTTAGTATAGGGTAGCGGGCATTTTAATTTTGTTCAATTAGATACAAGAAACCAAGACTCCTGCGCTTGAACCCATCTATTTGTGTAAATATAACCAGAAGAAAAAAGCCAGCTTTCCTATTTGGGAGACAGAGCAGGCATTTTACTATCTACTACCTTGGAGCAGCCCAGGAGACCATGAATGAGGCAGTTCCCTTTAAAAGAAAAAAAAATCTACTGAAGCATGAATTACTTGAAAATGTCACTGGAAAGAGGATGGAGGACACTGAGTGGCTGAATTGTCCAGATAACTGCTTTACTGCAAGGTCAGGCTATCCTACGGGCCGTAAGACGTAGGCCTAGTTAGCAGGTTACCTAGGGTACCATTTTCTTTCTTTCCTTTTTTTTTAGGGGGGTGGTACTGGAAATGGAACTCAGGGGCACTTTACCAGTTAGCCACATCCCCAGCCTTTTTTTTTTTTTTTTTTTTTGGAGACCATGTCTAACTAAGAGTTACTTAAGGTCTTGCTAAGTTGCTAAGGCTGACTGGCGACTTGTGATCCTAGTCACAAGAAACCACTAACCCTTATTAAAAATAAATTAGCTGGACATGGTGGCGCATGCCTATAATCCCAGCGGCTCAGGAGGCTGAGGGAGGAAGGACACAAGTTCAAAGCCAGCCTCAGCAAAAGAGAGGTGCTAAGCAACTCAGGGAGACCCGGTCTCAGAAAAATACAAAATAGGGCTGGGGGTGTGGCTCAATGGTTGAATGCCCCTGAATTCAATCCCCAAAACATACACATGTGCCTACATACATACTTACATACATAAATAAGCCAGATGTGGTGGTGCATGGCTATAATCCTAGCAACTCAGGAGGCTGAGGCAGGAGGATCACAAGTTCAAGGCTAGCCTCAGCAACTTAACGAGGCACTAAGCAACCTGTATCAAAATAAAAGAAATTAAAAGGACTGGCAATGTGGCTCACTGGTTAAGCTCTCCAGAACCAAAAAGATAAAAGTAAAAATCAGAAAAATGCAGGAATGTCACTTCCTCTATGAGAGAACTTAGTGTCTATTCTTGGTTTGGGGATTAGGAAAGAGAGCATAGTCAGGCATGGAAGCTTCAGGCCTACGCTTCCAGGAATTCGTAGCCTAGTCCTGCCTTCCTTTACATTCTTTCCCATCATAAGGTTAGCCCATGTTCTTCTTAAAGGAACAACAGAATTAAGAAATAGGCCCTCTCCCTGGCCTCTAAGACATCAACACACCCATTTGCTCATTGCTTCCCTGCCCTCTGTCTCTTCTCTCCATAGGTGAAGAGTCACAGTTTGAGATGGACATTTAAGGAACCAGCCTTGAGATGGAGCAATGTTTCTGGGCCCCTCAGGCCCTTCTCGAGAGAAGAGTCACACCAGCCAGGCCTTATGAAAGTTTTTGTACTGGGCAGTCGTCGGGCTTGGGGTCTGCCACCCTGTTCCCTCACTCAGGGCACCTGCTCCCCTTTCCTCTTTGTGAACACCAGCACATACCTCCTCATGCCTCCATTGATACAGGAGCTGCTACCCTAAAGGGAATGACTCTCTTACCCACCCAAGTGCCAGAAAGGGGTCACAGAGGAGCCCTTATGAAAGATCATCTGGCGCTTCCAGCCCCATCGTCTGGGACACACCCACCCTTTCCTTAGGTTGGGGTGCCTGGGAAAGCTCCCCTCCACTTCCCTAAGAGAGGAAATAAAAGCCACCCTCTCCCTAGGGCCAAGAGTTGGGCCCTGTCTGAGCTCTTTTCAACTCCAAGTGATAATTAATACCAGCTATTATCTGTTCAGTGCTTACGATGCATTTTCCTTTACATTATCTCATTTGATTCTCACACTGATTCTGTAGGTAAGTAGAGCAAGCACTATCTTTATTTTAACAGCTAAGAAGACTGTCATTTACTTGAGGGAAGCTAGTAAATGACACGTGGCACTAGGTTTGAGCTCGGCTACTTTTTTTTTTTTTAGTGGTAATGGGGGGTTGAACCCAGGGATGCTCTACCACTGAACTATACTCCCAGAACTTTTAATTTTTTATTTTGAGACATGACCTTACTGAATTACTGAGGCTGGCTTTGAACTTGAGATCCTCCTGCTCAGCCTCCTGAGTTGCCGGGATTATAGGCATGAGCCACTGTGCCTGGCTGAGCACCTCTACTCTTTTTTTTTTTCTTTTTTCCTGTACCAGGGATGAACCCAGGAACACTTGATCACTGAGCCACATCCCCAGCCGTATTTTGTAGGGTCTCACAGAATTGCTTAGCACCTCACTTTTGCAGAGGCTGGGTCCGAACTTGTGATCCTCCTCCCTCAGCCGCCTGAGCCACTGGGATTTCAGGCATGGGCCACCGCTCCCTGCTGCTGTTCCGCTGTGCTTGATCTTTTGTTTGCAGTGGCAGGTGCTACCTATTTTCTGGGCTCCCTGCTCTTCACCCACCAAGCCTGTCAAGTGACCCAGTCACCTTCCCCCTTTGGGCCCATTCCATGTAAGAGTGAGAGGGAAGAGCCTGAGCCTTGGCCAGTGTACTCTGCGATCCACATGTACTTGATCTTTTTTTTTTTTTTTTTTTTTTTTTTAAAGAGAGAGAATTTTTTTTTTAATATTTATTTTTTAGTTATCGGCGGACACAACATCTTTGTTTGTATGTGGTGCTGAGGATTGAACCCGGGCCGCACGCATGCCAGGCGAGCGCGCTACCGCTTGAGCCACATCCCCAGCCCCTGTACTTGATCTTTGTAGAGTGATTCCTTTGTGTGAGTCATCTTTGGAGACAAATAAGATAGGCTCTCTGCCTTGAGGATTTCATTGAAATGTAAGATTTACTGATAAGGAGGCATAAATGGGATTATATAGGATTGGCTACCAATGAATGGTCTATGCAAGTGTTAAATCATACAGGGGAGCTGGGTGCGCCACACTTGTAATCCCAGCAGTTTGGGAGGCTGAGACAGGAGGATTGCAAGTTTAAAGCCAGCCTTAGCAAAAACAAGGCTCTAAGTAACTCAGTGAGACCCTGTCTCTAAATAAAATACAAAATAGGGCTGGGGATGTGACTCAGTGGTCGAGTGCCCCTGAGTTCAATCCCCCCCCAAAAAATGTAAATCACGCAGGGGGAAGAATGGAGGTGATGTGCAGTTGCCCCCCACCCCCAGGAGTTTGGAAGGAGGTAGGTATCCAGTGTTATGGAGGTCAGGTGGTCTTGGGAAACCAAGATGTACAAGGATGGAACATCAAGGAAGCTGCTTTCTTTGGACACAGCAGGCAACTTTTGTGGGCAGGGGTGGCTTTTACAAATAGCCTAAGAAAGGCCATGTTTGTAGGATGTGCTGGAGATGGATGGCCTTTGACCAAGAGGCAGTGGCTAATGTGGGCTGGATAAGCTGTGGGTTCAAAGCGTTTGTCAGCCAGCCCCTTTTGGGGCAGCAGGCCTTCAGTGGCCAAGGGCTTTTGTCAGATTTTTTTCTGACCCCACCCAAGGACTAATTGCAGCTGGAATCTACATGTCTGTTGGTGGCACATGGAAGGACCCAGTCTTTGGTATGTAGAATGCAAGCACGGAGCATAGCCTTTTCTTCAGGATGGAAAAGTGAGGCTAGGGAGGCACTGCCACAAGAGCAAAGGCAACAGTGGATTTTAGCTAGGACAAGTGAGAGACTGGGTCAGCCCTCGATCCCTTAGCTTTCCGATTAAATAATCATCTCACCCCTGGCATCCTATTGGTGGTCTCGCTCACCATTCTATACTTATTATCAGATCTAGTCCCCTCCTTGATTCTATCTCTCAGGGTCAATTACCTTATTTACAGGATCGAGAATTTGACTTTTCTTGGGGCTGGGGTTGTGACTCAGCGGTAGAGAGCTTGCCTAGCACATGTGAGGCACTGGGTTCTATTCTCAGCACCACATAAAAATAAAAATTATTGTGTCCACTTATAATTAAAACAAATATATATATTTTTTAATTTTGGCTTTTCTGGTATTTGAGGGGCCACAATGATAAAATATTCAGAATATCAGGTACAGGGGTGAATACCTCTAATACCAGCGACTTGGGATGCTGGGGGAGGAGGATTGCAAGTTTGAGGCCAACCTGGGCAAGTCAGCAAGACACTGTTTCAAAAACTGTGCGTGTTGGGTGGAGAGGGGTGTGTTGGGGTAAAGCTCAGTGGTAACATGCCCTTGGTTTAATTCCCAGGACTAATATGAATTTTCCACCTGAACAAAAAGTATCCACTGAAAGACCTAGATATTTCTTTTTTTTTTTTTTTTTTTTTTTCCTTTTTTGGTACCAGGGATTGAATGCAGAGGCACAACCACTGATCCACATCCCCAGCCCTGTTTTGTATTTTATGTGGAGACAGGGTCTTACTGAGTTGCTTAGCACCTCACTTTTTGCTGGGGCTGGCAAAAAGTGAGGTGCTAAGCAACTCACGATCCTCCTGCCTCAGCCTCTGGAGCCACTGAGATTACAGGCATGCACCACCGTGTCCAGCTAAGACCTAATATTTCTTGAGCATCAATGCTGGCTAGGTGATGTGGAGTGCCAACCATCTGCAGCCCAGTTCTTGTGCCCAAAGAAGTGAAATCTTGGGGGAGAGTGTTTGATACTGTTGTGGTCCAAATTGACATTCCTATGTACCAAGCCTAAAAGTTTTGCAGAGATGGTTACTCCAGGAGATCATCATAGCTTGGCTTTCTCATTGCCTCTGGCATCATCAAAACCTGTTTTTCCTTTTGAAGAACACAGTGACAACTGTTGGTAGATACCATGCCCCATGATCGAGGAAATACAAGGAAGTGTTTTTAAGTTATGTTGTGTGTTCCTGTTGAGTTTACATCCTGATTGGGAGATGAAAGGTACTGGGAGTTGTTAAGGATCACTCAGAAATGTCGTGATTACCAATGAACAAAGGTAGTGTCAATGTCATAAGTCTAGGAATCGGGTTTGAGAAGCCTTCATGGAGGACTGGTAGATTTTCATTTAGGAAGGGTAGGATTATGAACGGTCTATGGTATTAGGCTCTGAAAACATTTTAGCAGGAGGAATGTTGGAAGCATTAGATTTCCCATACACAAATGAAGAGGCTCAACCAGTCAGTGGAGATGGGAATGGGCTGTATTAGAAAAGGAGGCTTGAGAGCACTTGAGCTAGATGGAAGAGAGAAATGTCTTGGAGGTTTCTGGTCTGTGTGACCCAGAGGAGAGATCAGAGAGTGCTGGTTTAGGAATTATGTAGAATGGAGGAGTTATAGATAATGGCTCCATGGTAGAGTGCTTGCCTAGCATGCATGAGGCCCTGAGTTTGATCCCCAGTACCAAAAAAAGAATTATACAGAATGAATGCCAAAGATGTCCAACTTCCGCGCTGTTTTCACAGCTGTGGGAATGCTCAAGTAGCCAGACTGTTTCCAACTGGGGCCATCTTCTGGCACTCTCCAGTATGACATTGATCAAGATGACTCAAGGAAAGGCCCAAGTCCACATGGCCAACAAAAAAGTCCCTCATGGTGCTGCCTGAAAACTAGTAGTACTTAAGGAAGGGTGGTCTTCATCAATAGACTTGGCAAGTGGTCTTTGCAGCTAAATCCATCCTCACTTTCATAAGCATTTACTAAGCATCAATAGCATGATGCTAGACCTCAAGGTACTACAGGAGAATTTTTATACAATGTCTGAGAAGAATAATCAAGGAATCATGATTGGGTGAAAATAAACTGATAAATATTGGAGCAGGGACAGTCAATGGGAAGGACAGGCTGGAGAGGAAACTGTATAAGCAAAATGGAGAGGCACTGATCTAAGCACCAGGGATAGAGCACTAAGAATATTTGGATATGTTAGGCTATGGTGAGTTGCATAGCACGTGGTAAGTTTGTAGATAGCATGGGATTCAACTGTTGGAACAAAAAAAAAAGAAAAAAGGAATATCATGTATATCTGGATCTTAACTACAATCTCATCTATGATCCCCAGAATTTAGGAGGTAGGAATTTTTAGTCCTGTGTTAAACATCCCCATGCCTAGTGAAAGTCAGAACTGGGATTCCAACTCCTGTTTGTCCAGCTCCAAATCCTGTGCTCTTTATGCCATGCTGTGTCTGTGCTAATTCAGACCAGAATGTTGGTTGGAGATGTTAGAACAAATCAGTGACTGAATGGTGTTAAGGTAGACAAGGTGAAGGAGAGATTGAGACTCATTAAGATATTTGGGGTGTGTGTGGGGGTTGGAGGTGGAACATGGATATGGGTTGAAAATAGTGCCTACTGTGTGTGAGGCGCTGATCTAAGCATCAGGGATAGAGCGCTAAACAAGCCCAGACTTGAAGGAGCCTAGCTTCCTTGGAATGGAACATATCCTTAAGGATTGGTGCCAGGTCCTGTTTTGTGTATTCGGTTTTCATTCCTGAAGTGTCAGACCTGGCCTGGAAATGCAGCGGTTTTGGGTGAATTTTGCCTCTGAGACAGACCAACCCCTTCCTCAAGCAAAATACCCACCTTCTTTTCTGTGGGACAGTTCATGGAACAGCCAGCACCCACCCCAGTGAAGGCATTAGATACTTCAGATTCTGGAAATAACTAACACAGCCTTTTATCATCTGCAAGAGGCTGAATGAATATAAATAAGGTAAGGAACCTTTTCCTACAGATTAACTGGAAAAGTTCTACCCCTAAAAATGAGGTTTTTTTCTGTTTTTTCACAGGGGTATGGTTTCTTTTATTATTATTATTTTCTAATTGTAAGC